ATATAGAACATAAAATTAGTCTTTATGCTGACGATGTTTTACTTTTTCTTCAGAACACAGAAAATTCAATATCTAATGTTATCGAATTAATAAACTCGTTCTCAAAAGTTTCTGATTATTCTATAAATTGGTCAAAATCTACAGCTCTTCCAATAAACTGCGTGTTTAATTCTTCTCTCAATGAACGACTACAATCAGGTAACATTACATACTTGGGCATTAATATTTCTCCTAGATTGGAAGACTTAATAAAATTGAATCATATCCCAATTTTAAAGAACACTGAAGATGATCTTACTAGATGGAAATCTCTGCCCATATCACTTATGGGAAGAGTTGCCTCAGTAAAAATGATGGTCCTGCCGAGAATAAACTATTTATTCTCAATGATTCCAAATAAACCTTCAACTGAATGGTTTAAGTCACTGGACTCATTGATATCTAAATTCCTTTGGAAAAACAAAACTCCACGTATTAGCTTAAAAGCATTACAGAAATCTAAAGATACCGGAGGATTACAACTTCCCAACTTCTATCACTACTATTTAGCCAATAGGTTACAATATATCTCAAAGTGGTTAAATCCGAATACATTAGATGAAACTTGGATAGACATAGAACAAACTTTATGCAATAATATTAAGATTTCAGATCTACCGTTTATTAGCACAAATATAAAAAGACATGTTTGCTTTAAAAGCATCAGTATTAGCTCTTCTCTGACAGCATGGTGGGAGTATTTGAAAATGACAAAATCTTCACTACTCCCCTGTAGACATACACCCATCTGGAACAATCCTGACATCCTACAAGAAAATAATATGTTAAATTTCCCAGGTTGGAGAGTCAAGGGAATTGAACGTCTGGAACACATATATGAAGGTGTAGAGTTTATTTCATTTAATAATTTAATAATACAATTTGGCATTGAAAATAAATACTTCTTAGAATATCAACAAATTAAGTCTATCATAAAAAAGAAATTTAAGCTTAATAAAACTTTGTTAGAAACACCAATATGTGTGTTAGAGTTCCTTAATCTTAAATCCCCCAAATTATTATCTAAAATATACAAGAAATTGTCTAGAATCAATGACTCCATAATGCTACCAGTTGCATAATGGGAGTCAGATTTATCAATCAATTTTGACCAAAACACCTGGTCTCAAATATGTTTAAGAACATTTAAAATGACTAGAATCTCCAACTTACAATTAATACAGTATAAAGTTCTTTATAGAGTACATTATACAGGTCAGCGAATGTTTAGGATGGGATTTACATCATCTAACAACTGCGCACAGTGCACAGGCAATATTCCTGATGATTATATCCATGCACTGTGGTTCTGCCCACCCGTTCAGAGGTTCTGGGTCCAGGTTTGTGAAGACTTGTCTAAATGTCTGAAATGTAATATTCCACTCTCTCCATCTGTTTGCTTATTGGCTATCTTGGAAGATGTTACCCTGGAAAAAAATACATGTCGCATGATTTTCACAGCCTTATGCATCGCAAAGAAAACCATACTCCTGAATTGGAAAAATAAAAATAATCTTAGCATTAATCAGTATAAAAATCTTCTGTTAGATCATATTAGTCTTGAAACAGCATCTGCCGACACATTGGATCAATCTCTGTGGGCTCCTTTGATCGGCTCCGTTACATAGTGAGGGTGGGTAGTCTGGGATCTGACCTTGTGGGGCCTTGGGGTTGATGTGGAGGTGGGTGTATGGGTTTGGGGCCCCGGGGGGGTTGACGGGGGCTGGGCTCTTGGGGGTACCTGGGCAGGGGGGCACTGCTTTCCCTCTGGGGAGGGCCTGGGTGGTTCTGGGGGATGTCTGCTGGTGGCTGCATGCAGGCCCTCAGGTGGTCTGTGGCGGCGGTCGTGGGTCACCGATCTGGTAGCCTGGCTGTGCTGGTGTGGGTTCGGGGTGGGCGCGGGGGCTTGGGGTTCTGGGGGCTTGTCGCCCCCGGGCTTGGGCCTGTGGGGATCGGGGATCTTGGGCTCTGGCGGGTGGGTTGCCGGGCTCTGGGCTGGCTTGCGCTCTGGTGCCCGGTTCTGGGCGGGGGCCTTCGGCTCGCTGGTGGGTTGTGGGTTCATGGGCTGGGGGGTTGGGTGTTTGGGGGCATGACCAGTGGCCCCTAAGAGGGGGTAGTTTGACCCAGCCTAGGTGTCTAGTGTGCTATGTGTTTTGAGAGATGTCCGAATGAGGGGTGGGTGTAGTATTTCTTCTGGGGTGGGGATGGGGTGGATGTCCTTGGGGGCGGCCCGGGACTGTGCATGGCCGGCTGGCTGGCCCCTTTCCTGTGGCGGGGGCTCGCTCCCGGTGCTTCCTGGCACTGTCGGCGGTTGGGCGGGCGCTCTTGGCTGGGTCGTCCTGGTGGGGTTTGGCTTCATCTGGTAGCGGGCTGACTGTGGTTTGTGGGGGTCCTGGCGGCCCTCGGGTGTGTAGGCTGCTGGTACTGCTTCTGGCGGCCCTCGGGGCTCTGTCCCTCTCTGGTCTGGAGCTCAGCGGGCCTGGCGGTCGGTCCAGATGGAGAGATGTCTTGGCCTCAATCCCTGGGTGGACCTTGGGGAGCTGGGGGGGTGGGGGGGTGGGGGCTGTTGGGTCAGTGGGGGAGCTGACTCCCTGTGGGAGCATTTGCTCTCACAGTTATTTCTCCCCATCCCTCACCATGCACCTCCACCCTCTTCATTTCAATTCCATACATTTAGGGTTGTTTGGGCTCGGGTGTGCTGCAACAATTTTACATCTTTGTTGACCATAGCCACCAGGGACTCAATTTTATTGTACACCTTAGACATTCATTCGTAACATCCTCATGACATTCACATATAGGAACTTGAGGTGGGCACATGGCTATGGGTGGTGGGATGACCTTACTCTCACCCCCTGTGCCTGTGCTCACTTACAATGGTTGCATTTAGACACTAGGGTTTGGATAGAATTGGGGTGGAGGGGAAACTGGCATCATGCCAGCCTTTGCTCCTTCTTCTTTCCTTTTTAATGGCACTATACAACAACACACATCAACAGCACATCTAGGGGCGGGGGTGTATGTGTCGGGGTCTTAATTTTTTTTTTCCTCCCCCCCTAGTTCTTTAACTGCCATTCCGGGGGTGGGGTCCGGGAGAAGGGCAGGCCGTCGGGTGTTGACCAGGACTATGTGGGGGTTCGGGGTCTGGGGGATTGCCGTGGGCGGTGCTGGCACTGGGCTCTCCCTGGGGTTGTTTGGACCCCCTGAGCTTGGCTCTTGGGTGCCATGGTTGGACCGCTGGCCGGGGTGGCTGCCGGGGCCTGGTGGGCAGTCGGCTGGGGGCGCGTGCTTGGTTGTTGGTGGTGTGTGGGGGTGGTCGGTGGCGTGTCCTCTTCATGGTGGGGGGTGTCCTGTCGGCTGGGCGTGGCCTGGGCCGGGTCTGAGATATTGGCTCTTCTCCGCTCGAGAATGAATTGGTTTACCTCCTGGGTTTGGGCATGGGCTGCCCCCTGTAGAGGGCGGGTACATGTCTTGGACCTGGGGGGTATATAGTACGTATCGGGAATAAGAATGAAATGTATCGTTATTGTATGTCTTTGAGTGAGTGAGTGTGAGAATGAGGCTGGGACTGTGTGATTGTGTCTGTGTATGAATGGGTATTTGTTAGGCCGAGACTCGGACTGCCCCCTCTTTGATACAACTGGGGGTGCTTGGAATCGCGCCCCTATCGCGCGGCCCCCTGGTGGGGTGTGCCCTTGCCTGCCGACGCGCTTGGGGCCCTTGGAGTTTGGGGCTGGGCGCTTGGGCGTGTGTCGGCTCGGCCTGATGTCTGCCTGGTGGGGCTCGGGTCCTCTGGCCCTGTCAGGCCTTGGCCTGGGTGGTGTGGGTCCTCGGTGCCCGGGCCTCCGGGCCTGGACCTGCATCGGTGCGGCGGGTTCCGGTGGGGGCCTATGAGTTCGTCGCTGTTGGCCCCGGGGGGTCACTGTATGTGGTCGCTGGTGGGGTTCTTCCGGCTCACCCCTGTGGTCCGATCTGGGGGGTGGGCGAGTGGTTCGTCCTGTGTGGGTGGCCCTGGGGGCTCCGCGGTCGGGGTCCCTCCTGGGGTCTTGGGCTCTGATCCCCCCTTTTTTCGTCTGCCTCTGGTCTTGGGGGTCGGGTCTCTGCTGCTTCACAGTTACTATTAAATGTTCTATTAGAGAAGCCTTATACACTTATGCATGCTCACAACCACACACAAATAGAAGCAGGGATGCTTATGTCGGCTTTATATGTAGATATATAGATATGTATATGAATGTATATTCATGTGTATGTATATATGTATATAGGCGTAGGTATCGGCATATATATTTATGGAAACTTACTGCAAAGCCATGAATATTTTAAGTTCTTTATACATATGTATTTTGTTGCTGTGTTTTGTCATGTTCTTTGCAGGTGAACAGACAGTGGCCGGGTGTTTTGCCGTGTGCTCTCTTTGTGTATATTTCTTATATTTTGGAGTCTTACTTTGTCTTTTCTTTCTTTCTATCCTATTAAAAAAAAAAAAAAAAATAAAAATAAATAAAATAAAAAATAAAAAAATAACCTACACTAGATAGTCACTAGAATAAATATTTCATAATAATGGTGTGGAGAGGATGGCTGTAAGGGGAGAAGGGAGGCCATCAAAAAAAAACAAAAAAAAAACCAATGCTGTTCTTCAATTCAATTCAATTCAATTCAATTTATTTATATAGCGCCAAATCACAACAAAGTTGTCTCAGGGCACTTTACAGGAACATTCACATACATTATTGCTAGTATCACTCAACCCCCTGTGAATAGTAAACAGCCATCAGTGTGCTAATGATCCATTGTTAGGCTGATGGTCCTTCTTGACCATGTGAACAGCTGGTTTTGGTTGTCAGCAGCAAACTGGTTGATCCACTCTGAGAAGGTGCTATTTAAGAGACTGAGCTGAATACAGCACCTCAGACTGAGGAAGTCTTTCAGAAGAAAGACGAAACGTATCTACATTTTTTTTTGCTTTTTTTTTTTAATTTTTTTTTAATGTTCACCAGATTGAACTATTTTTAGATTTCTATAGTTATTAGCAAAGCTATAAATACAAATACATACTTGTGGTGTGATCAGTTTATGCTCATAGTATAATATGAGAATCATTCTAATTACTCAAAATATCTCAATATCCATACAATTTGTTGAATTATAGCCAATTTTGTAATTGCTACATTTGCTTAGCTGTTGTGGCCATCTTGAATTGAGTTGACTCCAAATGTTAATCAGTTGTAGATGAAGACACTACAATTATTACTTTCTGAGAGTACAAAATATTTGACTCACACATGGAGACTGATAGAGACCAGAGCAAACACATAATGACCCTTTTGGCTTCAACAAGAAAGATCCTAGCCTCTCACCGTCCAGGACACTCGGATGTTTGGTGCTTTTAGCATGACAGGATCTTGAAGCTGAACCATGACTTCTCCCAGCTCCCTCTGCACCTGCCTGTGGTCCACACCCTGACCTGTAGGACTCACATCTGAGGAAACACACACCAGATTCATGTCTCACTTCAGAGTTTGCTGAGTGAACACACACTTCAGATGGTGTGAGCTGGGGCGCAGACCCACCTTGTGTTCTGACAGGCTCAGAAATGGGGCTCGGGTCACTCAGACCGTAGGCGTTCACAGCTCGAACGATGAACAAATACACAGTGTTGGGAAGAAGCTCACTGACTGTGTGTGTCTCCATCTTGACCATGTCAGCTACAGTCTGCCACGTGCTGCCTGCTGACTGGCTGTGAGAGGACATAGGAAAAGTTGGTTTAATTTGTAAATCAAAACTAATAATTTGTAAAATAAGTGGAACATTTTAAAGAAAAATGTAGCTGCTGCCTAAAACTCCAACATACTTTTTAAATATTATTCAATTCAATTCAGTTTATTTACATAGCGCCAAATCACAACAAAGTTGTCTCAGGGCACTTTACAGAAACATTCACATACATAAAAGCCAATTAGTAAAGTTCTCTATCTAAGGAATCCAGCAGACAAGTTGAATCTTGGCTTTGTTGCAGTCTCCCATCCTGAGCAAGCACAGTGGCAACAGTGGAAAGGAAAAACTCCCTTTTTAAAAGGATTTAGCAAAAAGGAAAGTCTTAAGCCTAGTTTTAAAACTGGATAATGTGTCAGCCTCACGGACAGAGATTGGAAGTTGGTTCCACAAGAGAGGAGCCTGATAACTGAAATATCTTCCTCCCATTCTGTTTTTGTAAATTCTAGGAACCACATGTAAACCTGCAGTCTGAGAGCGAAGTGCTCTGTTGGGAAAATATAGAACAATAAGATCTGTAATATAAGATGGAGCCAGGTTGTTGAGAGCTTTGTAGGTTAGAAGTAAGAGTTTGAATTAAATTCTGGATTTGACAGGGAGCCATTGGGGAGAAACTAAAACTGGAGAGATATGATATTATAAGCTCAGAAAAATGCTGATATTTTGATTTATGACGCATCATCAAAAGAAACGTTAAAGCTGCTACATGTGGCTCATTTTAGTCACTATGGTGATCAAACACCTGTCTGTCACCACCTGACCGCAGAGTTAAACAGAAGCAGACTGAAAAATAAGCCTTAAATAAACATTGGTTGTGTGAAACTACAAGTCATTTGTCTAAAAATTCTTGAACAATGAGCACCAAAGTAGTCTGGTGATCACATGAGATTTATTTTGTTTCCACAGTGTTTTATGTAGTAGATATGACAAGTAACATAAAAAAACAAAAAAACATTCTCGTCAAGAACGTTAAATCTGTTCCTCTGGACATTCAAAAAATAATAAAAAATTGTAGAAACGTTTCATCTTTCATCTGAAAGACTTCTGGAGTCTGAGGTCTCAGTCTTATAAATAGCCCCTTCTCATAGTGGATCTACTAGTTTGCTACTGACAGCCAAAACCAGTTGCTCACATGATCAAGGAGGACCATCAGCCTAACAATGGATCATTAGCACACTGATGGCTGTTTACTATTCACAGGAAGCTGAGTGATACTCGCAATAACAGCATTGTAAGAGGGGGACAATTGAACACGTAGGCCTCCACCCCTGAAAAATGATGAACGATTTCTTTTCACAAAGATGGCCTCCTTTACTCCTCTCTCAAACCATTGTTCCTCTCTATCCAGGATGTGAACATCTTCATTCCAGAAAAAGTGACCGCTGGCCTGGAGATGAGTGTAGACCGCAGAGTCCTGGCCTGATGGTGTTGCTCTTCTGTGCTGGGCCATCCTTTTGGCCAGTGGCTTTTTAGTTTCCCTGATGTAAGACTGATTACAGCCCTCCTGACACTGAACAGCATACACAACATTACTCTATGCCGGGGGACTGGATCTTTGGGATGAACCAGTCTTTGCCATAATGTATTTTGGGGTTTAAAAGCCAATGGGACATTGTGTTTAGAAAATAAACGTCTCAGTTTCTCTGATACTCCCGCAACATACGGAATGACCACTGGTCTGGGTTCCTCCTTTTCTTCCCTTTTCCTCCAAACCAGTTCAAGCAGAACTGGTTTGTTACACTTTGGAGTAAGCTGTTGGGGGAATAATCAGTTTTGTTGTGTGTTTCCTTGACTGATGAAGCCTTCCGGACTGATGGCGAAATGTTTCAGCACAAAAAAAAAGAAACTGTCCAGATGGCCTGACTGAAAAATGTTGGATATGAGTTGTTGTGTTGATTTTCCTTGACAACTTTGGTGCTGAAAACCAGGAATACTGGAGAAGGACGATTGGTAACCGGAGAATTGGACATCAACACAGGTTGTTCAGTGCAGTTCCACGGGCCAGCAAACAGGTAAGAGGAACTTTCTTTATCCTCTCTGTGGCGCTGCACTGAGTGATCGTGTTGTAAAATATTTTTGTCAGTAGAGATCGAGTGTAAAAGTTTTTTGAAGTAATACATTGGTTGTAAGCTTGTGTAAGGATTAGAAAAAACAAGTTGTGATTAAAAGAGGCAGGTCGGGGACCTGGCATGGGGTCTGGGACCCCTGTGTGAGTCAACGAAGCCTGGGACTTCTGTCAGTCGGGAGTGGCACCCCAAACTTCTTCCCAGACCAGGTATGCTGCCACACAACCCAGCAGCAATACCCACTCTGAACACAGGAAAGCAGTATCTGCAATGGGAAGACTTTCCCACTCCTGGTACTTACTGACACACCCCTGAGAACCAACAGGGTAGCATGTGCACTGCAGACCCTATGCTACCGGCGAGAGTGGGAGGACAAGAAATGAACTTCTTGGTGGACAAAGGAGCCACCTACTCTACAATCACCACAGCTCCTGTCAACTACCTATCCACAAAGACTGTGACATTGATGGGGTTCTCAGGGACAGCGCAACGTCTGCCCTTGACTGTACCACTGCCATTTCAGATAGGAACACAAAAACTGCAACTTCCATTTGTCTTTTCACCTGCAACACCAGTCAACTTGATGGAAAGAGACTTACTGATAAAGTTGGGGGCAACTGTACTCTGCGGGGCACAAGGGGTGAGAGTTCAATTCCCAGATGGCTCCTATTTGGGAAGTGGTGAACGATACACAGATGGACAGTACTTGATGCAACCAGTGACTCCTCAACATGCTGATATCTACTGGGGCCGCATGACTGCTGAAGGCTCTAGTCCACTGCTGAAGCTGTTCCAACAATGGAAGCCTTGGATCCTGAGTCTACGCGCCTATGTCTCTCCTCCTGACCCCGCGCATGTCATGCTCTTCTATGACGGGCGCCACGCAGACTGGTATCAAGAGGAGTTTACAGCTCAATTGGAGGGTAAGATTTGGACAATTCACACACAAAACATTTATGTGGCCCCGGCTGGGGTGGCAGCGGCAGTGGAGTGAACTCATGAACAATTACTGCGGTATCAAATGAGTGATGAAGCTGTGCCTCACATATCTCTCTCTCTCCATGTCGAGCACGAAGCAAAGGAGCTGGGAGGAATGGTTAAACGTTCCCTGGCAGCTACGGACTGGGTTCCCACCTCAGTACCAGGTCTGTGCTTTTCAATTTCTTGTTGACACATATAGAATCTCCTCTCACAGAAAAGAACAGGTGATGCTGGAACATGAGTTGTTGGTTCGTGACTACGGGAGAGAGAAGACTGATCATCATTATGTCGCAGCAATGTTGGCCTCCATACCTGAAGGCTTATGGGCCACCTCCCCCACGGACGTGGGGAAGACACATTGCAGCCCAGTCACCTTTCAGGTAAACACAGATACACCCATTTGGGTTCCACAATGCCCACATACACAACAAGCAGAAGAAGGAATTGCAGACACAAATCAGGGATTGATTGCTGCAGGAGTTTTAGAACCCCCGTAATCTGAGTGGAACACACCCATCTTGCCTGTAGAGAAAAAAAAGAACCGGTAAATATCGAATGGTACACGATCTACGAGCCATTAATGCAATATTAAAAACACCCACAGTTCCTGTTCCAAATCCTTATGTCTCAACCGCATCTCTGCACCCTACACACCACTGGCATAAAACTGCAGAAATTTATTCTCATTTACATATAAAGGACAGCAGTGGCGCTACACTCGACTCCCACAAGGGTTTGCTCTGTCTCCAGGTTTCTTTAATCAGGTGTTAAAAGATGTACTGGGGCGGCTGTGGTCTGAGTCCTGGCCTGATGATGACTCTGCGGTTTACACTCATCTCAAGGCCAGCGGTCACTCTTTCAAGGATGAAGATCTTCACATCCTGGATAGAGAGGAACGATGGTTTGAGAGAGGAGTAAAGGAGGACATCTTTGTGAAAAGAAATCGTCCATCATTAAACAGGGGTGGAGGCCTACGTGTTCAACTGTCCCCCTCTTACAATGCTGTGATTGCTAGTATCACTCAGCCCTCTGTGAATAGTAAAGAGCCATCAGTGTGCTAATGATCCATTGTTAGGCTGATGGTCCTTCTTGACCATGTGATCAGCTGGTTTTGGTTGTCAGCAGCAAACTGGTTGATCCACTCTGAGAAGGTGCTATTTAACAGACTGAGCTGAAAACAGCACCTCAGACTGAGGAAGTCTCTTGGATGAGAGACAAAATGTTTCTATATTTTTTAGCTTTGTTTTTTTTTTTTTGTTTTTTTGTTTTTTTTGAATGTCCAGAGGACCAGATTGAACTTTTTTGGATTTTTCTACTTGGATTATTGAGCATGCATCAGGATATTTTTTTTACTAACTTCTCGAAAGAAGTTGATAACCTCGGGTTTCTGTTTATTATAGCCTCCTTAGCCTCCTGTTTGCTCTGCTCACGTATGATTGTGCAGCTGCCCATCCAGGCTGTCACATTGTAGGGTTTGCGGATGATACAGCGGTGGTGGGATGCATCACAAACAATGATGAGTCCAGCTACGGGCGGGAGGTGGAGCACCTGGAGAGCTGGTGCAGAGAGAATAACCTTCACATCAATGTGAAGAAGACAAAGGAGATGATTGTGGACTTCAGAAGGAACAAAAACATCTACACCCCCCTGAACATAAGAGGATCTGCGGTGGAAGTGGTCTCCAGCTACAAGTACTTGGGTGTACACATGAATGACAACCTCAGCTGGAGCAACAACACCACCAGCCTGATCGGGAAAGCTCATCAGGGACTCTGCTTCCTCAGACGGCTGGGGCGGGCTGGTCTGGGGGGCTCGGTCCTCGCCTCCTTCTGCGGGTGTGCAGTGAAGAGCATCCTGTGCTCGGGCATCGGTGTGTGGCATGGAGGCTGCGCGGCTGCGGGGGGAGGAGCTTTGCGGA